TCAGTTACTGAGGGCCCCTTTCAAAACTTAAGCTTTGAGGCCCACTGGAACTCCTGCAAAACACTGTTATAGAATAGCTGAAACTGCCTCACACACAAAGGATAGCTATCTTTATAGCTATAGTGTTTTTTGACATATAAAGATACTCAGATACCAATATGGCTTTCCCACAAACAAGTTTAATCACCTTGTTCAAAATGATTTTTACAGAATTAAAAGAATCTGAGAAAATATTTTTCAAAAATGTGCGAGATGTCTCTTACTTAAAGTCTGTTCTCAGTCTTTGTGAACTGAAGGTCAGAAGTTTCCATATTGGATTATATCGGGCTTCCAGACTAATTGTGAGCTAAAAAAAAATCATGCAGGCACATACACATTTTAACAGCATGTTTGTGCCACAGTATTTACATACAGTAACTACCACTTTGTATAGGAGTTTTAATTGTTAGTGGCGGGGTCCGACATTCCCGAGCCAGACAAGTGATTCATAGGAGAAAATGCATGCAATTGAGCGTCACTGTATGTAATTAGATTTCACTGATATCAGCCACCCAGTTTACTGTTCACTCTCTTTACACTGTGTCAGAGCTGTAACACGTTCATCAAAACTGTGATATTAAATGGAGTCCACCATATTTTGGTTGGTTAAAACACATTTCATGACTTAAAACTACACTTTGGACAACGAAGGGTTTGATCACGATGTGGCAAATAAACTGAGAGGGTAAAATTAATTTAGCTCTAACAAAATAAGAACAGTTCATCTTCCTAGCCACAGTTGGTATGCACTCAACACTCACGTCCTTTAGCCGCTGTGGGTGAAACAGTAAAAGGGGGCACAGCAGGGTTCACAAAGAGGCAGCCTTTTCATCAGAGATGGGAACACATGATACAGCCATCCGATATTGATACTTCTACTCAGAGGATACATTATGCAGCATAGCTTGACAATGCCAGCCACCGTTTTGAAGACACGTGTCCTCTCTGTGTCCTCTGAATTCCTCTTTTTGAGTTTAGAATAAACGTTTTTTTAACTGGTGTTTGGCCATGCAGGGAACTCACAGTTTCAGATAAGCGCAATAAGCAGTAAACACAGCTGTTCAAGCATGCAGTGGTGCAGATGGTTTCTGAGCACACCATGAATGGAGAAACTGATATTATGTGTAACTTACACATACATTATTAGCAAAAAGATCTTAAAACCAACTTTTTTAATTAAAGAAAAAAGATAATTTATCTTTAAGAGGTTTCAGTACATTCTTTCCCTCAGCTCTGTTCCAGTGTAACCCTTTTTCAACCCCAAAAAACTTTAGTTCCCCAGTTTAATCACACTTGTGCGATCTTGATTCAGATATGTGTGGCCCTGAAGAAGCCAGATCTAAAGGATTACAGTTTCTCACAGAACAAGTCTTTCAAATGGCTTCCCTCATGATGAAAATAAAACAGGATGCTGCGAAAACAACATCTACTGTACAACATCTACAGAAGTGGATTTGTTTTCTTTTCACAGTCATGTCTTTATTAAGCTCAACAGTGCTGAGCCAATTTCCGTTTAGAATCCCCAAACAAAGCCAATGGATATTTAGAAACCTAAAACGTTCATTTTAATTGGAGACACACGCAAATACCCCTTAATTCTGCATTAATGCCTCAAAATATTCATTAAACTGAGAGCAATAATACTGTAACAGATACTAGAGGTGTAATAAACGATTACAAATAACATTCTGCCGGCACACAGCCAAGTCATGCAAGGCTGAAAGAGAATAAACTCTATGTCACGCTCAAAAACAGACAGCCCCGCTCCAATACGGAGCACAGGACACACAAGATGTTCAGTTTATATTGCAACAGCATAACTCATAAAAGTGCATGAAGGTATCAGTCTGTCACTTCAGACTGTGAATAGTACAGTAGGTAAGTCTCCTGTGCTGTTGGACCTATAAAGTCTTGCCTTGACATTGATCAGTACGAAGAAAACAGATGGTGTGGCACAAATAAGGCTTTTCAGATTCTCTACAGATATTTTGCAAAAATGACACATCTCTTTTGTTCTCATTCACTAACTCAAGCTGACAGCAGTGGAAAAGAGCATGATGCCATTGTTGTCCTATGAACACTGCTGATGCCCGAACTCTCAGGGTGGCTAAGTTGGCCTTCAAGGATTGCTCAGATTTTCCATCTGCCACTGTGTGTGCGAATTCAACTGTTAACCTCTTTTGTATGATCAGCGTATTGTCTTCTTTCACATAAAAGATATATATGACTCTGGTTTAAACATAGCGGATAAGAGTCGTCGTATCAAAAAGAAATCGACACAGTCTTCAAGATGAAAAGGCATTGTGTCAGCATTCACACAGGGCTACCAGTAATAGGTTTTCTTCTTCTGTTGTCATTAAAAAAAGGTACATAAAACCGTTTCACATTCTGTTCCGTGAGCTAATGTCCCACTCTAGCCAAACAGCGAGCCAAAACAGTCAGTTGGGACTGTTTCTTCTTGGCATCTTTTGTTTTTTTGTCAGCGTGATTTGGAAAATTCCTTTATCTACAACAGAACAGGTACATTTAAGATGATTTACTGGCATTCAGCTGAGCTCACAGCACTGATTCTGTATCCAGCCATGCAGCTCAAACCACTCACCATGTGTTGTTGGCCTCACACTCACTCGCTCACTGGCCATTTCGTGCACTGACGGAGGGGTTTTTTGGTCTTGCAGAGACAGCAGTGCTGCTACTGCTGCCTTCTGTATGTGGCCACAACGGCTGCCAGGAGTATATTTCATTACTCTTATTTAATTTATTTCTTTTTGTTAGACTGATGATGCACAATCTGTAACTGATAAGTTCACGCCAAGAAGATTTATGCCCATTTGCTTTTCCATGGAGGAGGTTTCGATCTATTCATCAACAAGAAATGGAATTCCTTGTGGAGAGAAGATGTGGCAGTTAAAATCCACTCCTGAGGGTTTACACTGGTGCTCAGTCCAAGACAGATTTCTGGCTGAGTTTCAAACAATCATCCGTGGCATCAAATTCCCACAGATAAGGGCCAGTAAAACGAATGGTAACGGCCAATTCATCATCAAAACATTCCATGAAAGTATGAATGGAAACGTTTTTACATCAATCAATATCCGTCTGCCAATTTGCATACAATTTGCCAACGGCTTTTTGGAGAGAAAATTGTAAGAGCCTTAAGTTAGTCATGCATGCCTTCAGAACTTGAATGGAAAGTAGCAAATACGCTTCAAAGGCATGAACTTGAAGCGCCACGTCATCAGTCTACGTAGGACTTGTGAGTATTCACGGACAGTTTTGCAAAATGCAATTAAGCCGAGGGTTTTTTTCATCCGCTTCTTTTGATCCTCAAACGTTGGACTTTTCCTCAGGATGCTTGGTTGGAATTCAGCATGGCAAAAAAGAAAATTGAATTGTCCAATGAGCTGAATAAATTAATAGCACTTCTAGCTGGCAATGCTCAACCATATGCAACATTAGAGTGTTGCATATGCAGATAATATAAGTTAACCACGGGCTTGATTAAATTCCGGCTGGTGCTTCATTATGACCTCCTTACATGTGATTACCCATGATTAAGGGAACAACTTCAAAGATACAGTTTCCTAAATCCATCTCTCCTCTTGTTCCATACTCACAGTTTAACATGCAATACCATGACCAGCTATGGCTGTGTTGGAAGCTGCTCTATTAAAATACTCAAATCCAGGGCAGCTTCGGCAGAGCTTGCATGTGTGCCTTATCAAATGTTGATTATCATAAAGCTACGAGAGCTTACAGGAATCTCAGTAAGTAAGCAATCATATTCTTGTATAGCCTAGATAACGCTTAATATTCCTCACAGGGGCTCTCTATCCACATGATGGAAATCTGTTCTGACCCTAACATTTCTGCGGTGACTGAAATGGTAATGTCAGGAGTGTATTTAGCAAATCACCCCACTACAGCCTCCAAACGATGACAGCTATGATATGTGTAGCTGCCAGTTAGTGTGTGCAGAGCCTCAGCAGGACAGGAGCCTCTTGGCTTTCCTCAGCAGCGCTCCTGTCCTCTGACTATTAAATTATGAGCGTTTTACCACCTTCACTGAGCAAGACAAACACTGCTGTGTCAATGTTGTCCAAACTCAGGAGGGCACACAATTTAATCCACGGCCCATATCATAATTAAATTCACGCTGAAGTGGTGCACATATTTCAAAACGCACACATGGCGCAAGTTTCATCATCGACCTGGTAATACATTATATTTTTCTGTTAGTATTAAATTAAATCTCCAGGCTGGAGTAACATCAATAGGGGCCAAAGCCTGGGCAGCATTAGTGTGAGCAGCGCTGGGCTTTCCCACTGGCTTCAGACTGTGTCAATAATTGCTATAGTGTTTCTCTCCGCTTTGCCCTCCTTTGAGCCTGCTTAGCTGCCCGCTCACTTGGTGTAGGTCAGTGAAATTATGTCTGCTTCAAAAGTAGGCTATGGCAAGTCGAGGTCGATTTGAGCTGTCCATTACAATCAGCCGCTGTGGTGAAGAACAGGTCTATACAGCCTACAGAAACCCGTAGAAACCATTACAGAGCGAGTGTGTAAGTCTGCGTTGTGATATTAAAGTGAAACACGGTGGGATGATTTTAAAAAGACAACAATAACCTCCCTGACGAGGTTGCGTTATGTCGCGAGCACACGCATCTTCGTTGTGGCTCGGATTTTTTTAATAAACAGCCCGCCGGTAAAGACAGATAACCGTCCACAAAATGTCCAAAATAAAAAGGTTTCAATGAGTGACAGTAACACAGCGCCCAAACAACACAACATACCACACTGGAAACGCGCTTTTAATTCAGAAAACCGCGTTTGTGTCGACCGTGTGAGACTGTTGTCACTTGTGTGTGTGACAGGAGTTTTTGTTGTTTTTTTTAACCACGCGCCCGCCAGCTCCGTCGCCACGCACGCACGCACGCACACTTTCCCCCCCTGACTTTTGCTCACCTGCGTTCCTGAGCTTCTTGTTCCGATACACGGAGAAGATGACCAGGAGGTTGCCCAGGATGTCAACAACGATGGTGAAGATGAGGAAGCACCCCAAAGTTGTGGTGACCCACGGCGGGCGGTTCAGGACGGCGTCAGCGGGGTCCGGCGAGGAGCTGTTCAGGTGAGACCCATTTATAACCATTGTATACAGTCGCTGAACTTTCTCCACGGACCCGAATTCTACGTGCCGTGACTCCCCGTGCGTCCCTTAAAGCCTGGGTCTCTGAGACGCCGGTGGTGGGTTACTACAGCCTCCCGCGGCTCTCATCTTCATCTTCTCCACGCGCGCTTCTCCTCCCTCTTCTTCTTTTCCCCTCGCGTGGACTTTCCCCAGCTGCCGTGGATCAGCTCCGGTACTCTTCCCCTCTCTCTCTCTCTCTCTCTCTGGCCGCCTCGGTGTCACTTCTGCCATTCACTTTGTCCGTACGCATGTGTGACATGAAGCCGCAACTTCAAACCTTCCCAGCATGTGATCAAACACAGTCCGGAGAGGAGCGGTTTTATTTTGGGGGAGAAATACTGCCGCTTGGTGGCCAAGAGCTGGAAAAGCAGCCTTAATGACTCGGAGTGCGTCCTACTTCTTTTCATTTACCGGATGCGTGCTCATTCATGGCTTTGCGGTCGCTCGCTTCGCTTTATTTCAGCAGCCCATTCATTATCATTTCGAAAAATCATTCATGTTTTCACATGTTCATCTCTCGGGAAAAAAGCCTGCATAATTACGGGGGCTGACAACAGAGAACCTGAATGTTCAAGCATGCTGCTGGTTGAATGGGATTCACTCTTTAAATGATCTACATTTCCATTTCCCAGAATCACAGATTGGTGCGGAGGTCTAAATTGAACTTCTGCTTCATCCCATTTTGCCCGCACACTAACATTTGATTTGATTTGTTGTTGTTGTTTAGATATTATTTAACACATCATTTATTCTGTATAATATATAATGTATCTAATAACGGTAAAAACTAACGGTCTAACTACTCACACCTGTTCACCACTATATACGTATAGTCACCTAAATACTAATGAAATAGTTTAGTTTAGCATCCCTGCAATAGGACGAGTTTCTATACAAAGAATGGCCATTATGCTATTGTTAATGATGTTCACAATAAATGGGTCACAGGCCCCTCTCTCCACACACACACACACACACACTCACACACACACACACTTATGCAGCTTATCGAGCTGTCCCATGAAATGACAGTTTGTCATAATAGATAAAGGCTAGCTAGTAAAAAAAAAGCAGGGTTTATTTTAATCTGTAAATTTGAATGTACTGTAAAAAATATCAGGTTTGGTATGGTCTAGACTAATCTATCTATCTATCTATCTATCTATCTATCTATCTATCTATCTACACCACCGCTGACATCAAGCCGTTTATCATTATGATATACAGCAATGGTTCCCAACCTTTTCAACTTGTCACTCAGGTATTCTTGCAAAACATTGATTGCTGTTGCAAGTAAGGCAAAAAGTGATTATCATTTTATAGGTCTGGAAAAATTACTGAGAATTTCTACAACTCATTCCTGTTCCACCCTAATCTACTTGGTGTATTTTGTGAAAATGAGATGCAAACATTGTTCCAGCCTCTGTCTACAGCTGCTAATGCTGAGCTGGACTTGAAATGCGTACTTTCTGAAAGCTCTGACCTATTTGGCTTTATCAGAATAAATCTATAAACACATAAATGGCCAAATATTAAATATCTTGCACAGAAAATGGACACTTCTTTATGTAGTTGTCAGGAGTGCAACTTTGGAATAAAAAAAAACAGTTAAAAATGCCTACTGAAGTTATTCCGTTCTCACTTTTTATCTTTTGTGCATGTTTCACTGATTTGCAAGTGCAGTAAAATACAGTGATCAAGCCTTGACTTTGCTTTTATTCTGAGGACACTCCCGTCTTTTATCCCTTTCTCTTCAGCCCCTCTCAACATTATAACGTTACTACTCAACAACATCACAAAATGATTAGCCATAATAATCCTCAGCTGCCTTTTCCACTCTTCCTTTATCCTCCCTGTCATTACCTTTTGACATATCATTTTAGGACACAAACAACGTATTATTATAAATCATTTGTGCATTCCATTCATGCAAAATATGATGATTATCTCTCCCTGTTCGTCTCTCGATTACGCATTTTAGGTCAGCCTGTTATTCGCAGTGAACTGCTCTGCCAGCAGACATTGATCAGCACACGCTGTCATCTTCAGTGCATTTAAAACACATTACAGAAAGCCCCGTCGTATTTCAAAATTAAGTGGAGGAAGGAAAAAAGGAGTGATTTGGAATAATTCTAGCAGTTAGTGCCACAGTACAGCAAACATATCATCAGAAACAGTCAATGGGGACTGAAAGTGGACGAGAAGAAAGGAAAGACTGGACTGGATTTTTGTCTTTTGATGATGTTCAGTCATTGCCGTTTTATATGATTCTAAAAGGAGCTTTAACATCATCAGTAGAACAAGTGAAATAGTTTGAGCTGCTTCATTAGAGCTGCCTGTGACTCAGCATCTACTGTTGGGGAAAATATGGCTCTTTTTCTTACTAGACATTAACTATATATGACTATACTTACATAAGAGTGAAATGTTAGTTGTATCCATGCATACTGTGATCACTGTATGCTTCACATGAACATGCTACAATCTCATGAAACCTCTCACGTTTTGTGTTAGGAGATATAAACTATAGTAATATTTTTGGCCATATTTGTGCAAAAGGCCTCTGAGCTTCAGGGCTCTGGGTGGGTGGTTCTCATGGCAGCAGCTGACTGACATTTAAGGGCCTGCAGGCTTAGCATTGACTCCCATCAGACACTACTTTTTAGTCTTGTGTTTTGAACATCTACTGAGTCACTGACAGCTCACAACTCATGCTGTGCGCTGCTGCTCATCATAGTCCTGTAGCCTCCAAACATTTCAACAAGCCCACGTACCGTTCATCACGTGCTAATGGTGATTTGACGCGTGGACTCTTTTGGGAGAACCCAAGCTTGCCAATGTTAGCACGGATTCCTGCCAGGCGTTTCCTTTTCATACATGTTATTTCAGCACCTGCCATTGACCCGGGCCAGGTTTACTGGAGCTTTCACACCTGTTCTTTCAGGCACAGATGTGACGCACTCTGCCCCAAACGTGCTGTATTCATCAAGAGGATGCACCAAGCTGGAGTCGCAGTTTGCACGTCATCCGTACAAGTCTCCGCCTCTCTCCTCATTGCCTATGTATTTGAGGGAGGATTGCACAAATCTAAATATATAAATACAGTAGACAACATGTTAACAGAGGTTGACTGTCAGTCTGTTTAAAGCCTCCTCCTCAGCCTCCACCTGCTCCATCTGTTGTCCATTACGCTCTCTCTCTCTCTCTCTCTCTCTCTCTGTCTATCACTGAGTGCTTTTTGGAGAACGTGTTTATTGCCTCTAAACGTAGTAATCATTAGATATCCATTCCATTAGCTATCTGGTTGGAGCCGATCCCAGCTGACACTG